AGTTCCATCCTGTGCAATTTACCCATGTATTGGAACGATAAGCTGTCAAATCTTTTGATATAATATTAATAAAAAAATAATCCAGAAGTTTTACATTCTTTCTCCACCTTATTTTCTCTTGACCTCAAAGCTGAAAATATTCCCATGAATCTCTCTACACTCAGGTATATCAATTTCAGAAAGTAAATGACTCCTGAAAAGTGGTCAGCAAAGCCCAGGTAGGTGCAAAACTTTTCAGAAAAGAGAAGATTCGGTGCATGAAGGAGATTTCTTTTTAGAAAATAAATGAGCAAACTGTCTATAAAACAACATATTTGTTAATGCAGCAACCAAGTTATTATTTTAGCTACTATGCTACTCAGGATGTTATGAGCAGCTATGGTGGACATATTGTTTCACATTTGTTTAAAGACTTGATTTGTGACAGATGTCACTGCTGCCTCCCTCACTGCAGGTTGTCACATGCACATACAGCATAAACTGAATGCTGGAAGACAAACCTGCATGTGTAAACTGATATTTATAGGTTTCCATAAACATTTAGAGAAAATTCATTCAACATTCACAAATTGATCAGCAGTCTGAGAAACTATGTGATTTCTAATAAAAATGTGAAGAAATTTTTACACTAATAAACAAAAAACAGAAAATCTAGTAAAGTAATTTATTGAAAAGATTTTGAATTTGAATAAAATGTATTAAATGAAAGAAGCATTGCTAATTTTAGCAGGTAAAAGTTAACATTTACTTATATTTTTTTGCTGTTGTAAACAGTAAAGAGTGACTTTAAAAGGAATTTTTAGTCTCATTGTGGAGTTAGAACACATAAAAACTTTAAAAGTACGACACCCTGGCACCAGCCCTCCTCTCCACATGAAACATCATTCTCAATAATATTTCAACTGGCTGACAGATGCTAATCTGACCTCTTCCCCAATCTGTTCCTGTATCGCGTATCTCATCCTGCAAAGATTAATTCCCCTAACCACCAATTCTGCCGCCTGAATGTGCAGCAGAATTCAGAACTTCTGATGCCTTCAACAAACATTGCTTATTTTGATGCATTTTGCAAGCTTCTTAGTCTTTTCTCATGCAGCTTTTCTGCACCACCCCTGTGCTTTTGCTCTTCATCCATTGCCTTCTCTCAGACTCCATTCATCTCAAATGGCAAAATCTGGTAACTTTGATCAAAGAAGAGGGGAGGGGCCATGAAGGTTTCATCAGATAGTCCCAAAAGTCCTTCAAGAAATTAACCAATGGGGTTTGGCAACATTTTACTGCGTCTTGGCTTATTGTTTTCTATTACTATTTGCCATAATATCTGTCATATAAACTTGAAGAAAACTGAGAAGGAAAGACTGAAAAAATATATTTACCTGATTATAGAAAATATAAGGTTCTGCAATATTGAGAAGCGTAATACAAAAAAAATTGTGCAAAGAATTACGATAATTTTTTTAGATGTAATGATCAACTTTTTTCAATAAATTTATGGAAAGGACATAGACAAACAATAAAATTAGACAAAGAAATAAGTCTGCAGCAGTTTTCCAGATTATAGCATTTTTATGACATCCAACTCACAAGCTTAATTAGTTGTCGCACACCCTGCTGTTCTCTCAAACAGGTAACACTGCGAGACTTAATTTTCTCTGCTGATTCAAAGCCATAAAACTGCAGTGCTGACAAGTGACATCAAACAAACTCTTCACCAGCTTTTATAAAAGTAGTCAGGTTTTAATAATTTTGATTTAAGGCAATCCAATACAAAGCATTTCACAACCCACCATATGACACTAATCATGTACAATAAAAACCCTTGAAACGTGAAGCAGAGTCATGCAAAACAGAGAACTTAATATACCTAAATAATAAAGATATAAACAGTGAAATCAGACCAAAAATAATGATAAACAAATAACAAAAAGTGTTAACTGTAACATGCAAACTAGCTACAGCTCTTTTTCTTTATTCTTTAGAAACACTGATGAGACAGGAAATTTTCAGGAGTCAGGCACAAGAGAGAACAAATAGCTTGCAGTCCATTTTCATTGCCGCATTTGGTACAGAAATACTTGTATTCTGGATGGACTGCGCATTTTTTCTCCAACAGATGAAGGCATACAAAAAAGAATGTCATGCATTTGATAAAGATAATAATTATCTGGGCTTGAAAAGATAAAAGGATCAATGGCTTCTCATGTTCTAAAAAAATGTAACAAATATTTGTTATACAGCAATCTTTCCAAAAAATATATAAAAACATTTACAGTTAGCATTCATTTTAGGGATTTGATGTTAATGGCTGTAGGAGATTTATGTTTTTAAAAAGTGTTTCACTCAGACAGCATTCTTAAAGTGTGCTTTTTTTGTGTTGACTATTTGAGTCCAAGACAGTCTTTTGCAAAGATGATTTAGATCCTAACCTTAAATAAAACTGTAAAATAACAGAAAAATATATTCATTAAAAACTCAACTAGTGCAAGAACTTTTAGAGGAACTTACACTTTCCTATTAATGTTCAGTCTTGTTCATGATTGTGTCAAACTACTGTTGTTGCTTTAGAAAATGTGTTTGTAAGAGGTTAAAAGATTTGAAGGCAAACTTTAGTTCCAGTAGGATTTATACTTAATTGACTCCATATGCAAACCAACTGTTGCTCAAATGATTAACATTGAACAGTTCAGCCAAGCCTTTTGAATTGAAATATATTCTATTCCTTCAACACTTTCATGTTTTTCAAAGAAACGGGTAACCTTTTGTTTTATGGTCCATCTATCAGAGCCATCCGAGCTTTGACACAAACTAAAAAAGAGTGCTGTTATTTAATATTCATTCTTTCACTGCAACACAAAATAATTGAAAGTGCAGAATGACTACTGAATAATAGCGAGACAAAGACAAAAATAATGGAATCAAGCACAAGACTAACACAGATAATTGGAAATGAAACATTTTCCAATTATCTTGGTTTTGCTTCTATTTTTGGGAGAACAAACTTGCAAAAAACAAAATTAAATGAATTCACCAAGGCCATAGTTACTAATGCCAAGTTTTGTCCTCTAGATTATTCCAACCTTGTGTTGTAAATTGTGTTTCAACATTTCAAGGCATACACATATTCTCAGGAGTGGTGACTGAATACCACCGGAAATATATATATAATAAAAAAATCTTAAGTCCAGGATTATCATTGCTTTATTTGCAGAGCTTCTGCAGTTGGTATATAAAGATTCATAGAATTTAGAAACAGATGCAGAAATCTGATGAGAAGCTTTTGCTGAAATGTCTCAGCATGGCATTGACCTACATTTCTGCCTCTGAGGTCTGCATGCTGAGGAGGTTAAAAATGGAGCATCTTGCTTTGCTGCATATTTTCACCATCTCAACGGTTTAAAATCTTCTGCAAAATCCTCATTATAACTTTTTTAATGGTACCTAATAAAAGATGCAAACTGAAATACAAAAACATAAAAAGTGGAATAATGTGTACTCATTACACATTAAATGTAAATTTTTTTCTGATATTGCTTGTAAGAGAATTTTTTTCTTTTAATTAGTCTTAACTTCTCTTTGAATAAAATAAGATTTTCTGCTCCTCTTAAGTTCAAAGTCAAATGTCAAAGGTCTATTACCAGACAACATGGAGCTCAATGTAATGCTTTGTTTATACTTTTTTCTGATGGGATGAAAAAAAGAAAATCTGCACCAAATGTCTTTTACTGAATAAAAGGCTATTTGAAAAAAAGATTGGAAACTGATTTTTTCTGAAATTATCTTTTTTGTTCACTCATTGAGGACCTAATTTATTTAGTTACAAATAAGTTAGAATGAATGAATGAATGAATGAATGAAATCCAGTTCATGACAGATTATTTTTTGTATTGGTGTAGCACTATTTTAGGGTAGTACTGCCAGGAAATATCAAACATTTTTATAGTCTTCTGTATGAGGCATCCCTTTACAAAAAACAAATATCATACTTATTCCCATTGATATGATTTTGTAAACATTTTTAGTGAATTCATTTGCATAGAAAATAAATAATGGCTTTCACTCTAAAGACTTTGAGTACAACTTATACTTTTTAGAGCCATCATGTGATTTTTCTTCTCCACTCATCACAAGTCATCGCTATGGAAAAATGTTCACTTTGTGTTTTCCTCTAATGAGCAACTTTAAAGCAATCCAGCACCACAATGTCATCCAGCTTCTTACTATGAAATTACACCTCAGTATGTTTTAGGACTGATAGCAGAAAGGAGAACATCTCATGATGATAACTTTCATTTTAGCTTCATGGGAACTGGTTGACTTTTTCATCCAGGATCTTTGTCGGTGTAGTGTTAATATGTAGAGTTCAAAGTTTATTTGGCTCTAAGTTTTACTTAATTGTGTATGCAGCTGACTAAAATGATGTTTTGAAATATATTTGTAAACAGTGGCAGTGCATGAATTATGAATCCCACTTCAGAAACTTAACAGAAAGGATTACATTAAATAGCTCCAATGTTAAAAGACATGTCTTTATATATTATATACAGTTAGTATATTTACTGATTCTGCTGAGATTAAAATATAACTATAACATTTATTTGTATTTTTTATGTTAACTAAAAATCTCTTGAATGTCCTGAGACAGTTTGTATGAGTAATATGCTCACTGTAATAAAAAGAAGAAGAAAAAAAAAGATCTATGATCAGTATGAGAAATTCAACGGATGCACTCCTGGTGATTTTGGGGCCGTAAACAGCAGTTTATTTTTGCATATGCCTTGGATTTGCTCTCATTGCATTAAAACTTTCAAGAAACGTCCTACAAACAGTGTAATAGGAGCCAGTGTTTTTCATACTTAATTCTCCATGCTTTGTATTAAATGGTGGTGATGGAAGTAAAATATTTGACGAGGATGAATGACTTCCTCAGAATTAATGATTAGCAGCAGTCCTATAGAGTAGTTCTTTGTGCTAGCTTTTATATTCAGTCACTCAAAAATAAGTGGTGGTTGCTAAAATTTATTAGGCTTGTTTCGTTCAAAATTAGATGTAAAAAAAATATCCATGCCATTCTAAAAAAATGCAAATAAATTTCATACGACATGCACATACCAACATTTAGTATTAAAGAGGAAAGGAGGTGGTGTTGCTGTCATATCATCACCAGTTGAGATCAATCCCCAATACAAAACGTATTCGAGAATGACAACGGTGGCTAAAAAAATATTACTGCATTAGGCCACACTGATGATTGACAAGAAGAGCCTGGGTCAAGTTCAAATGTCCTGATACACTTAAAGAAACAAGCACAAACAGGCACAAGGTTTAACCACAACATGACCTCCGAATCAACCTGCTGTCAAAAGTAGACATGGAACAGTCACTGCCCGAAAGGCTTTCAGCAACAAGTCCTGAAAAATTGGGTCAGCATCTCCTGAAGAGAGCCTACAAAGAAACATATCACAGTAGAAACAAAACCGAACAAATAGAAAAAGAAAAATACTGCTTCTGTAGTCAATGGAAGAGTACAGCACAACATTCTACACCCATTGCTTGGCCTCCTGTTCACAGCAAATTAGATGAAATAAAATCAGGAGGTAGAGAGTTCCCACTGGACTCTGAGTGGCTGCTGCATGCTATCTGTCCTCAGTGAAATGCAAAGAAAAAGGTCTCAGATTTGTGTGTGGTGGTGTGTGTGTCCAGGCGGAGTGTATGGCGGCGGCGCAGGATTGGGTTTGATCCCTCTGCTCTTCATGTACGAGATAAACTGGTCAGGGATTTCTGCGAGCACATCTTTGGCGAGCCGTGCCATGCTCAGCACATGGTTTCCTGTCCGGTCCATGTAATCCCTAAAAGGAACAAACTGAAGAACAATGACAGACAGGGGAGATATACGGCTTAAAAATAATGCAAAACATGATGTAAACATGATGCTTAATAAATATGAAATTCGTTCTTTCATACGTGTTATATCATCACCTGGCTTTATGGCAAATTCACGTCAGACCAGCTTTAATCAAACTCTAGTTCATTTGCTTAGATGTGTGAATGCAACCGCACCAGATGAAAATGTAACATATTTTGCTGTTTTACTGTCTAATCAAACAGACTCTTCTGGGTTATCAGGTGTGAAAACAGTGAAATGCTTCAGATAATACTTCAAATAGAAATATTATCGAGTAAAAAATGTTTTCATCTAGATAAGAATTAGAAATGCTGCCAAAAATATTGAAATAGCCAAATAACAGGGACAAAACACTGCAGATGAAAGAGCTTGACAGGTAAGACATGCAATGCAAAACATTTCCAATGCTGTGTCCCACATTTAATCACATAACACAAATCTACTCCTCATTTTGTCATCTTCCATTAGTGACAAATGATGTTTTATGGGATGCGCACATCAGTAAACATATGTCAAAACTAAGTAACTTTGGAAGCACCACTGATGATAAATTACAACCTAAATATGTTGATACAAGGAACACACACACAAAAAAATCTTCATTTATTTTAATTTACCACTTCGCAATTAGCTCTAATGAAGATTTAAATATTCACAGGTTTTCCAAAGAGAATAAAAATCCCTGTATCTTCCACAATCACCTGAACAATGTCTCTCTCTGCCAGTTTCCCCCGGGATGAGATCCTGATGTCGTCACCGTCCAGCTCCACCATAGCTGCAAGAAACAAATCATGAGCAGGCGTGCATAAATCATGTGGTGTTAAGCATATTTCAAAAACAGCTACCATAACAACAGAGATAAGGTAGATTCATACTTATGTAAAGACGTGGGTGCCTCCGTATTCATGCATCATCTTCTAGCTGTAGTAAAGCTTAAACATATATTGAGCTGTGCAGGCTTTATTGGTGGTCTAATCTCGTAATAAGGCCCTTATTATAGACTGTGCAATTTAGAATCATCAGCACTAAACATTGCAAACCCAGCAATTAACCTTAGTCGGTTCTTCTGCAATTATGCCTGCATCCACCTACACAGTCGCTTCCCTTCAGATTTAAGAGTTTGAACAGCAGTTTTCTCTGTAAAATACAGTCAGAGAGGTTAGCCACTATTACAGACTCAGAACATGTGTGTGTCTGTATGTAAGTACACGCACACATACACTATCATACTTATACCTTGTATATATCTGCATATAAGGTACTGTATATATATATAAATAAGATACAGCAAACAATGATCCTCTAGAAATAAGAGCCTTTGTTTTCTTTTTTAAATGTGTGCTAAGCTACTTTGGTTTTGCTTTATTTATATTTTTGCTGTTTTATGAATATTTTTCAGCTGCAGCCTTTGAACAAAGTGAGAGCAGACACGAGCTAGTGACAGAGCGTCAGGGTGAGATAAAAGTAGGCTGATCAGGAAAACTCCTGTCTCTTTTATCTTTTCTTCATTTTTGGAGACATCCGTGCAGCACACATATTCAACTTAAAACACTGCATTGAGTTTAGTTGTGATTCTTAGTACTGAAGAATTATTTTGCATTAGATTTTGTAGTGAATATGGTTGTATTTTTTTTCTGAATCCCACTTTTGAAACTCTTCTTGCCCAAGAAACATTAACCTTACTAGTGCATTGCAAACGTATTGATAATCCTTGAACCTTTATCACATTTTGTGACATTACACTCAAACTAATATATATATATGGAATTTATAACATGAACTCAATGAAGTGCATAATTGTGAAATGAAAGGAAAATTATGCTTCACATGTTTTTCACAAAAACAAATCTGTGAAACATGGCATATATTTGTATAAAGTCTGATGCTCTGAATTACCTCCAGACATCAGCTAATTAGTAAAAAGTCCACTTTTTGTTGATCTTGGACTTAAATATTAAAAGGCCACATTAAAGTTTCTAGTTCTCCCTGGGACCGCAAAAGGAACAAAAACTTTGGCGAGGTACTGTATGTTCATACAACCATCAAAGTTATCTTACCGTCAAACTCAGCTTGACCAACTCCTACAATGATTATGGACATAGGAAGTTTGGCAGCCTGTGAAGAAATCAAAATTCAAAAAATGTAAAACATTGTTCCCAGAGAAAAACATTGTGATTGTGAAAATGTTCTGTATTTGAGGTCTCCATGATCGGATTGCATTCATATTGTGTGTTAACATATCATATGACAAAAGACCCCAATTTTATATAAAAGAAACAACAGAGAAATTGAAGTTACTAAGGCGTCATTATTAGGTAGAAAACAAACTTGTCCTCTAAACTTGTTTTTTACTCCTCTTGCCAGAAACATTATTTTTTTATATTTCTAAGTAAACAAACTATTTCCTTATGAGCAGGACACTGAATGTTAGTAATCAGATTTGAGATGGTGGTGGAAACTGACTGCTCATAGTAAAAGTTTAACTTGAAATGCATGGGGAGATTTTTTTTAGTTTTTATGTATGTTTTTGTAGCTGATGCTGTTTAGATAACGACACAACCAATCTAACTGCAGCAAGTCATTCACATAAACTGTCTTCACCTAAAAACATTATGATCCTATCTCAGAAATGACAGCCTGCCTCAGCAATGTGTTCACCTCTAAGAAAGAGGAGAATGTGGGGAACAAAAGTGCCTGGCTGGTTGGTTGAGATGCCGGCTTAGACAAAGAAAATTGGACACATTTGTTGGCAGCAAGCTTGAGCATGACTTATTTTGCAAAAGACGGATGAGCCATGAGAGGAAGGAAGGGGGGAAGTGCTGGACAAGCAATTACAGCCACCTTCCCCGTCACCTGCCAGTCGACTCCAGGCTCCACCTCTAATCAAACGAGACAGTGGTTCAGTATACGAGATCGACATTTTGTAAACAAACATCGAGCAGAGTTGGCTTGAAAAATTTCAATATGAAGGGAAGGTAAAATAATGCATGGTTTTGAAATAGTTTTTCAAATAAAAACCTGACAAAGGCATTTTTCATCAGTATTCACGTCATTTAGTTAAATTCCTAGGTGAACTAATTGCTTCCAGATGTCACCCAATTGTTCAACAAAGACCATCTGTGTGTGATGCCATCATAGAAGAAAAGTAAAAATACATCTGTTCTGCGAAGGCCAAAGTGTTTTGTTGGAGAAAATAATTTAACATAACAGAATAATAAGAATCACGTGACACAGCTGACAGTTCAGGGATAAAGCTGCAGGAAAGCTTAAAGAGGATTAAATCCATAAAGCTATTTCAGAACCCTCCACCAAAAACGATAGTCATGATGAAGCACAAAAAAAGAGTCTATGGTAACTCTGAAGGAGCTGCAGAAATCCACAGCTCAGGTGGAATGACCTATTGATCGGAGAGGGATTAGTCATGCATCCTACAAGTTAATTTAAAATAAAACAGCTGTTTCCATATCAGGGAGTTCAGAAGGATGATCACCAGTTGTGATGTGTACAATTGCTACTGCTAACCTTCTTTTACAATATTTTCACATGTCCATAAAACTACTGAGATTACATTTCATGTTTGTCTGAGGATTTGTGTGAGGTTCAACAGCTTTACTTGAAATTCTCAACATAATTTCTCAACCATTATGCAAATTAAATCTCTTTATGTGTTTCTATATCACTTACAGAATATATGCGCATACCAGGCTCCAGTATTCATAGCAGCTTACATAATTTGCTCCTTCTTTTCTTTGATAACAAAAATGTTTAGTCCTTTTGTCCTTACAATCTTCAATCTCATCGACATTTATTGGAATTTCATGCAACAGGTCAACACACGTGTGATTTTAAAGACAAAGGTAATTTAAATGCCCTTTCAATTAAAATGAATGATTTGAAAACGTGGTGCACATTTGTATACAGCTCTGATCCCGCTAAGCAAAACCCATTGTAACACAGAAGAAGTCGTCATACTAGTAAATCAAATCCAAGTTTGTGCATATTGTGATTATTACAGCACTCTTGAAAACTGATTTATTTTTTTAAAAATTTGCAAAACACTCAAAAACATTTTGCCACATTGTCATAATGAAGTATTTGTGTAAAGAATTTTGAGGGAAAAAATATGAATTTAACACAAATATCCTGCCTCATGCTAACAACTTAACCAGAGGGCTGAGATGTTTAGAGTTGAGCATGTTTAGATTTTCTCAATCTGTCTCTCTGCTCGTATTTGAAAAATGAATTCAATTGTGATTTAGTTTGAAGCACACATAGTGTATAACCTCAGCATAGTGTATAACCTCAGCATAGTGTATAACCTCAGCACAGTGATCGCTCTCGTCCAGAAGCAGTGGAGAGAAAAAGGGAAAGAACAGTGGAAGCGGCAAGCATCAGGAGTCCACAGGGCTGGAGGCTGTGAGATAGAGCAGCAGGCAAGATCTTAAAAGGAAGGTGTGGCTGTTCTAATGTTTTGATTAACAGTCGCAAATTCCCTTTAAATCCAGTCTGCTGGGTGTTCTGTGCCGGTGGCAGGCTGCGGAGGTGCAGGAAGGATGGAGGAAAGAGGGACACACTGAAGAAAAAGAAAAGAGTAGCGCACATTTGCCATTTGGAGCTGAAAGACGAAAAAATGTGAATGACAAGTTTCAGGAGAGTAGCTCTATTTTTGTGCTGTGCTTATAGAAGCAGCAAAACCTTCAAATATCTGTAGCATATTTTGTTTGGTAGGAATGTGATAATCTTCAGCTGAAAGTAAAAACAAATCCACTCTACTGCTCTTGTTGCTGTTGACACTGTTATATGAAGTCGTGGCTTTAGGGCTTCTTTTCTACATACTGCAGAACAGCTGTTCTCCTCGACACAGCAAAGCTCCTGCTGTGTCTAGATTTGTGTGAAAACAAGACAAAACTGAGGAATGCTGAAATTCACAGCTGAAATGCTTTTTAAATAGGTGTGTTATCTGCTTTTCTCTTTGCTTTAAATTGCCAGTTAGTGTTTTTCGTTAATGTGATTTTTTTTTTTTTCTAATGAATGTCTACAGAGAGATTTTAGTGCATAGTTTTCTACATACGAGTTGCACAACATCTTTGCAATGTCAGTGTGTTCATTAGTGATGTTACAAAATACTTTTTGAAATGCAATACTTGTTGTTGTATGTCATATAATACACCTTTTCTTTCCATTGAAATATTCATTATATTTGAAAAAGCCTGGCAGCAGTAGATTTCATCACCTGACAAGATTTTGCAGGTAAATTCATAAATAAATATTTATGAATTTAAGGGGAAAAGAGCTACTGGGTGCAAAGAGACTGCTGAACTGAGGGATTCCAGCATAATTTAAGACGAATTATAAAATAATGTATATTTTTATCACAATTGCTTTTGTCATAAGTAATTATTTAAAACAATATCATCTAAAGCTTTAATTGTCAATTTGCTATAGCTCTTTCAAGTCAGAATGACTATTGTCATCAGAAATTTGTCTTAATATATATTCTGTGTTTTAGAGTTACTAAATTCAGTAGAAATTCACTGAGAGGCTTAAGAAAAGAATATATGCCCATTGCAGCCTTAACAGACCTTCAGTACCATCAAATGTGTATCCTGGAATATGTTTAGCTTCACATGATGTAGGACAGAATGAAGAATTGTCTTTGTTTCTTACGTTTACGATGGCTTCTTTGGTCTGGGCCATGTCTGAAATGACACCATCTGTGATGATTAGGAGGACAAAGTACTGAGAGCCGTCCTGCACTGCGGCTGCATATCTGCCCAAAGATAAAATTGCACATCAGGAGAGCATTTGTTATTCACTATAGAAACCAAACAAGCCTGACATTTGGATTTACTCACATATTTGTCAAAACAATCAATAAATCCAAAATTTATCTGAAAAAGAACTTGTTTCAGTTCTCATCACACACAAAAAGTTTTTGTGTTGATGTGTGAAAAAAAAAGTTATATTCAAATATGCAATAGTCAGATAACACAGACATGTTTAAAGCGGGATGTTTATATTCTGATTTACAAATTAGATTCATAAATCAAACAATTATTGGTGGATTAGTGCAAATTTTAAATACTGACTATCATTCTTTTAGTAACGCAATAAATTGCTGTAGTTTTAGAAGAACAAGTTACTTTAACAACTCAAGTTTGAAAAAACAAAAACAAGTACAAGTGATAAATAAATATTCTTATCATTTTGTGATCTAAGAAAAAGATTAAAATAAATGTATAACTTGGCTGTATTTTATGTTTTGGAAACTATTTTAAAATGAACTTGTATTTCTGGCAAACACAGTCAAAGAGATGGCTCATTTTCTCATTTTGAAACCAGATGTCCTCATCAAGGCAAGAGCTCCAAATTACAGACAGGCTGCCAGAGCGTCCAGGGCACATAATCCTGCTGTGGGAGGACACCGCCAGTGACGGGCTGCTGCCATTAGATGGATGTGCTTGATTACTAACAGCATTTTGATAGAGTGAATGTCGTGTCCTGAGACGTCCCAGCAGAACATTTAATCAAAATGGCCAACAATATAGTTTTGCAGAGCAGAGAAAGTGAAAATAATGACATGCGTTCATGGCTCAGTTAAAGCCTTTTACGCAGTTTGATTGGAGAAATCAAACAAGATTACTTTCCTGTAAAATGGTTACACTTTTTACAAAACAAATCATCTTGTAACCTGGTTTCCATGGTGTTTTCTCATGTCTAAAATTACCTAAAACCTGGGAAAATATGTAAGCAGGGTAATTAAGATGTAAGTAGATGAGTTTAGCAACCATTCAGTAAGAGTATTTACAAGAAAATAAACACGTGGCGCACATCCCTCAGCTACAATACTGTATCTGCAAAACCTTGATAAATTTGAACACTTGAACAACACTTAGATTCAGATACAGTCATCAGAGTAACATTTTTATGTTCTGCTTTTGGCAGCAAAACTCTTGAGGATAATAGGGAGCGATAAGAGAACAAAAGCAGATTACATCATGTGACATCTTAAAAAAACTGATGATTTTAACACACAACAGAGCACTAAAGCTTTTGAGAGTTTTCTGTAAGCTGCTCCACAAACATTAATATGCATGTACCATGTAAATTCAGTAGAAATTAATCTAATGAATCTAATCCAAGTACAGATTACAATAAACTAAGAAGATTTTACAATGGAGTGACCACAGTGTTTAAAATAAACTTCATAATACAAATCTCTCATTCACATTGCATCCTGATATCTATCGATCAATAAGAGCTAGACTTGTGGAAGCAATGTTAAGAAAACAAAAAAAATAAGGCTATTAATAGAACATTTTCCATTTTTCTTCACTCAGATTTCAGGAAAATAATGGTTCACTAGTCATCACTCACATCATAAGCAGCGTGCTTTATGGTAGGATTTGCTCATTTTTCTGACGCTAATTCAAGCAGTTATGCAAGAAAATGATATGCTTCTCTCTGTGTTTTGTTTCCAAGAACTGCAGAAACCTATTCACAAATACAGGCTGTACATCTCTATATCTGACACTGGTTCAGTGTACATAGCACAAAATAACACCAGTAAATTGGCCATACTTTCAACTTTTGCTTCATTTAATACATGTGGCTGCCATACTGGCTACAAAACCCAGCCATATTTTCTAAATTAGAGCTCAGACTGTGTAAAAGACGACTGGGAATAAATCCCCCCCTCCCCCAACCTTATTCATTAATTTACTAAACTTTATTTCACCAGGAAAATCCAATTGAGATAAAAAGAAAATCTTCTGAAAAAGAGTTCTGGTCAAGATTGGCAGCAGAATACAGAGCTTCATTCTGCACAAACACAATCCAGCACAACAATGCTGCTTCAGGGTGGTCATGTCAAGTCAGTGGGCAGTCCTTCAGCTTGAATGTGTGAGGATTTTGTGTAGACTGCATAAAGCAAAGCAGGTACAGGTACCACAGGCCACTTCAGAAAATGATTTGAAGAACTCTGAACCTCAAAACAAGTTCATTCACATTTGGATAGAGGCTGGAAATTATTTGAGGCTAATAGGTTTTAAAACTTTTTATCAATAGAAAGTCTGGGAGAGTTTCTATTCAGTAATCTGGAGCTCTTGCCAACATGTGTCTGATTATGATTTTTTTTTCTCTTTTCACACAATTGTATTTATTTATTGTTTTAATTTATGAGGCCAAAATCAATTTACTTTTAATTTTTATAACTTATTTTAAATGAAAAAGAAAAGGTGACAGCACTTCACCGGATGTTAGATTTCTAAACAAATCAAACATCAAATATTTGTTTAATTTGTTCTCCAGTTTAGTGAGAAGAAAATCCAATTACCCAAAGGTTCACCAAACAATAAATTGTGAAAATGTGTTAAAAAAACGTTAATAACATGTTCCTAATAAATGATTTGAGACAGTAAAACTGAACATTTTGGCAGATCGCAGAATATTTTTAGTGGCCAGTTGGATATAATTGATTAAAGAGCAAATGAAAGTAATATCAAAGTTTAAAAATCTTTATTTGCATGTATGTTTTTATAATTTGAATAACTGAAATGCATGTACTTTACTAATAACCAACAATATAGATTTCTCATATATCTATTTAACAGCTTCTATAAAATGACTGCTCTGTCGTGTTTCTCATGATGGAAAAAACATAATTTAACTCATGTCAAGTCTTTTTTTCCTTCCAACTGTGATAATTATGGGTTACAACTGATGTTGATCTGAAGTTCAGTCCCACTGAATACTGACATGACAGACTTGACAGTCGTCCAGCAGGGAGCCGATGACTCCCTCCTCAGGTACAGTTAATCTCAATATTCATGGATAAAGAACCTGGTAGATCAAAGTGGCATATAAAAGCAAACACTACAGATCAACATCTTCAGAACGTGAATGTAATGATCAGGCCTGGCGTTCTGTGTTGGTGGATCATAACCAGGTTGTAAAAAAAGAAGTAAAAACTCAGAAGAAAATGAATAAACAGAAGAAACAAAATTAAAAAAGAAAGGAGTGAAATCTCAAGCAGAGTTTTCATTGAACAAAAAGTTAAACTCAAGTGGAGGGCTAACAGTCTATAACATTTGATGCACTAAAGCGCAGGTTGTTTGAGTTTCTATTCAAGCAATTACCTACTCAAAGCTTTTTTCTCTCTTCGGTTTCTTCTTTTAGCATTTTAAAGTGACTTGTATATAATTTGTGCAAAATATAAATACTGTTTTTCCAAACTTAAGACTTTGTTATGGACTGTTTTATTGACAGGTTAAGCTGTACCAGAGCTACAGATAGCCTGCCTCTATGTCACACTGCAATAATCCGGTAATTCATTCATTTTATACAATTCTTACTGTTTGATAGTACAATACTTCTGTATTGAAATGTATTTCTTGTTGGTCTCATATGAACTCTGTATTCTAAACCTAAAATCTGAGGAAATCTGTAAGACACTGTACACTAAATTAACTTTGTATTGATATTCTAATCTATTCAGGCACATTTGTCAGAGCGCAAAAACCTAAAGGAACAGCTATACTGAACAAGAACATCATAAATAAAAATATTAGTTTTGTATTTGTAGGGATTACAGAATTCCTTTTAGCTCAATAATAATAAGCTAAACAAATAAAAGGGATAACCTTGGTCTACTTCCAAAAAAGTGTTCTACATTTTTAATGGATAAAACATCTATGCAGTATTAAATATTTGCAACAAGGAACTGAAATTTAATAGTGATTTTCTAGTCATGGTGACTACTCAAAAATGCTTCACACTTGAAGTTTTGTAGAATTGCAACTCTACCCACAGAGTCACAGTTATCCATAAACAGCAGCAACACAAACAGGTGAAGATGTCACAAATAGTTCAATACCTGGCAACATGGTTCACTATTGGAGCAAAGTTGGTTGGCCCGTATAATTGAACCGTCTTCAGACTTTGATGGTATGCCTCCAGGATTCCTTCAATACCATTGCAATAAGGATTTTCCATGTTTCCATTCTGAAAATGATATAAGCAAACACAAGGTTCGATTATTAAGATCTATAGAAACAAATCTGAAAGAAAACAAAACAGCTTCCGCATATATACAATACACAAGAGCTGACAATAGATTAACTAAATATTTACGGCATAAACAATTTCCAAATCAATCAATTAATGTCTAAAAGAAACAATTGACAGTTTGAAAAATCAACTGAATGGAGTTATGATGTATAAAAGGAGATTCACCAGTGGAAACTCATGAGACACTCGCCCATCAGGAGGCAGTTTTGCTCCAAAGCCTAAAGCTGGAAACATCTTGTCGCTGTCATAGTCCTGAATGATTTCCCCAACAGCCTTCAGGGCCATGGCATAGGCGTTCAGCTGGTAAGGGTTCATGTAGTGCAATGAAGTAGATTGGGAAGGATTACCTATGGATAAATGAAACAGAATCTAATAATCGCCTCTCAAAACCTCATTGTTCGTTGATTTGGACCGGTCCTAGTTTGTGGCTGAGCTCAGCCATACAACAATAAAAGTGCACTGGACAGACTGAATAATGTCAGTGTAGAAGATGACCCTTCCCATTAATGATTGTTTCCTCTTGAGTTGTTGCAGGAGGCAGAGTCTCTGCTGTAAACCACAGGTTAGTGTTGTCAATTATTCAACCATAAGAAATGACAAGAAGTTCATACTTATGGCTTAGCCATGCATTTTGGCAGTGAAAAGCTGTATGTACTGCAGGTGTTGATCCCACATCTTTGATAGGCCAGTCATGGTGTGTTTACACCAAGCGTGTTAGGCGTGTCAAAAACGCGTCTGACGCATCAAGTTTGACGTGTGTACACTTACGGTGCAATAACACCAAATGTAATTTGAGTGTCATGTCTACATTCAAAGTCTACGTGGCGCACCGGACGTGTTGGACGTGTCAAACGCTCAAAATGCCCCAAAAGGTTCAAAAGTTCACATAGAGTTTGAATGTAAACCAGAATCACCCGACTCTCAAAACGCGTTTGGTATGAACGCACCATCACACTGACCACCTAAATGATTCCTTCAGTGATGATTTGCCACTAGGTTTTAACAGCCCAGCATTTGTGATATGTGTCAAAAACAACCACTTAGATTGAAAATATCAAGAGTTTCACATTTTATCGTTTACTGAAAAATGGTTGTGATTTCGCGTGTTGCACATTTTTCCATTGGTAAAGAGTTGAAACTTATTTGTCTCATTAACTTTATTTTCTGATCGGGAGAACTTTTCCCCACACATAACTTTCAAGAATTTAAATGCGTTGCTATTCAGTGGTTCCACAGTGTGAGGATTAAAACTTGTAACATCATATCCTTCTCCCTGATGAGTGCAGAAGCAGAACATTTAGCAGGAGGAACTCCCCAGACAGTGAAGGCTTTAACTTACTGAGCAGTGATTGTATACAGTGCCCATGACAGCACTGTCTGTTTCGGTTTGCGAGATTGATTCTAAATATGAACACGTCACAGTCAGATATTCCCCTCAATTTATTCCTGCCCTCCTCACCAAACACACGCTTTGAAGTTGTAATCACTCACCATTAGATGCTGTGAAATCAATGGCCACAGTGAAATTGATCTGCGTCCTGGAAGAGGCAAAAAAAAAAAAAGCAAATCAACAACAGGGACCGGACCGTCATATTCAAAATTAATGCACTCTCACTCACACAATCTGTGACACAATAGGAAATATTTTCCTCGGAATAATTAAAAGGGTGTTGTTCAAACCATATAATAGTTGTACTTTTTATTCAACAGGACTTCATTTATTATTCACTTTCCTAAATCAATAACAACAATTACAGCACAAGCAGCAGCCACTCATTTACCAATTAAAATTTAGGATGTGATATCCAAGGTATCTGACTTTCACCTTCTCAATGAAAGCCTAGAGGAGCAGGTGAGAGACCAGGCCTGGTAACAAGCTATTAGACTGATGGAGCACTTAAGAACAAATCATAATCCAATTTTCCCTGCTGACGAAGCTTTCCTCCTCTACGTCTTGCTAATTTACGACAAAATGAGGCCCAAAGGGGCTTAAGTGACAGCCTCTCGTTATCTAGAAAAGTCACCAGAGAGAACGGAAAGAATGATGATAAAATGAACGTGTTTAATGTTCCCATTAACCTTTCAGTTTGGCATGAGGATTGTAATGTTCCACAGCCTGACCGAGCTAACATAATTAAAGTTAATTTTATTAATTAATTAACTTTTTTTTCTGAATGAGGTTAGCAAATGGTTCATCTCCGAGAAGAATTTTAAAAAGTTTTTCCGGTAATTCTCTTTTTTTAAATCTGAATTTTCTTCCTCTTTGAGCTAAAAGTTACTTTATACCATCTTTCCTTTAGATTTTCAGGGTTCCAGTTATTTATTTATTTTTTTTAATTTACTCTTGAAAAATAATGTTTCTTTTAATAAGGATTATTTTTATGCATATCAGAAGGGGGAAAAGGCTAAATATCAACCAGTTTCCCTAGAACATAAATTAACTTATGTTAGATGTTTTTTATTTTTCATCCATTTGTATGTCTGAAGTGAGGTCACTAAAACATAAGATTATTGTATTATAAATCCACCAAAACTGAGAGCTGTCAGCAAAATCTGTCACACTTGTCAGTTCTACCACAGGACATAGAAAACACTGACAGTTTCCCTGCTGTGAAGAGACAGCTGAGATCAAAGCACCGTCCAGCCTGCTTGAAAAGTATCACTTTACCTGACAAATACTTGATATGCATAAGCCATCTCAAGTGCTAAAGCTAACCTGAGATTCAAGGAGAGTTTAACTTTAATTCATCAAGTATTTATGTGTACTTCTAAATAGGAAGTACACACAAAATAGCACAAATAGTGCCCTGCCTCTTTTCTCAAGAGTATGAGCAACTGTGAGAATACACCTTGAGTACAGATTGCAGATATTGCACACCTTTCAGAGCAAGAACATCAACATGAAGCAACAACAGATTGCTTGTGAACATGAAGCTTTTCCAGCTAAGCTTTCATGGGTCGACATAATGGACCTCAACGTCCAGGTCGACTATGACGCTGTCGTTTTCCCTTTTGAGGATGACAGCGACAGCCCCATTGAGCCGGAAGATGTATCAACAGAGATCCAGGGGGAATCAAGTCCTCCCGGCGACTTTGAAAGTCCAACATCTTCGGAAGTCGAGCAGAAAACATCTCGGTCTGCTGGCTTCAAGATCACCCCCTCAGTGGAAGTCATGGACAAGACAAACTGCTTCGATCTCACGAAGCAGTTGGACGATCTTAAAAAAAGAGTTGCAGAGTAAGATTTTTGATCTCCATGAGGAACGAGACCGAAGGATTGCATATCAGGCTGAAGTCAAATCACAGCAAGAGGAGATTCAAAGACTGCAAAAGATGTTACAAAAAGAACGTCACCTGCAAGTGAAACATGATCATGACAGAAACGTTACAGGTTACAGGTGGCCCTTCCAAAGTTACAGCCGATAAGAACCTTCTTCAACAGCTGGATTACTTCAAGAAGGAGGCTGAAAAATATGCCTCCCGCAACAAGGGTCTCGTAGAAGTAATGGTTGAAGAATACAGAGTGAGGCTGAAATATGAGGAGCAGCTCAAAAGACACACTGAACAAGCTTTTAAATTCATAGAACAAGAGGAAACAGTGAAATCTTTGCACGGTCAGGTTGCAGACCTGAAGATGAAGTTAAGTGCATGCAGTTTATAATGCATGCACTTAAATTTATGTATTTATCTTGATATTAGGAAACATATCTAGTTTTTCAAAACAATTGAACTGTTTGCTGCTGGCCTGTTGAAAACGTTTTCCCTTGAGGTTACTGACAGAGTCATAACAAAATATTGCTTTATTAATTTAATTATTAAATAATACACACTGTGTTAGGTCTTGGTTCAACAGGCTAAGTGCAATCATTTCAACATATTTTAATAAACGTAGAACCAGTTCGGCCCTCAGCTTGCAGCAAATTTGGTTATTTGGCCCTCGGTGTATTTGACTTTAACATCCCTGCTCTCAGGTGTCACTGTGCAGAGAAAAATGTGGACAAACCTGCAGGTAATAACGTGGATATCATTTTCCTATCATGAGAAAGAACAGCTGGAAAAAAATGTCTATTTGAATTTTTTTTTTCCTCGACTTTTCGTGCAAAAAGTCATTCCCACTCACCCTCCTTTGATGTAATCTAGGAAGGTGAACTCTGACTCAACAGAGAACGAGAGTAGGGTCACCTGTGAATCACAAAGAAGGAGAAAGAATTGTTTAGACCCATTGGCATTGGTGTTTTCCTCCTAATACATCCTACACCTCTGCATATTGACTCAAATCATCCCATCGAAACAGGATGAAAGGAAACTGCCTTTCAAATAATTGAATTATTTGCAATGCCAAAGGACAAGTTTGAAGAGTAGATGGGATGCATTTGTATGCATTACTCACTCCAGCAGATGTGTTTGGGTAAGCTGTGTGAAAAGTAATGTCTCAATTGGTCATTGGTGTCCCTCGTCTTTCTGATGTCTTTCAAGATCCTCAGTTTCCCTCAATTTGTGTCTCTTACAAGTTTTTCTCACCACAGCCAGTCACATGTAATGCACCGTGATTTTTTCCCCCCACATATCTTTTTTTTCAATGTGCTTCATATTTTCCATTTAAGAATACATCTGAGCAAATCAACCCTTTAATCTTGAACATACATTTTCCCAGACAGAAGAAAATGTGCCTCTTTTAAGACTTAAATCACACAAAAGAAAACTAACACTGAAAAGAGGAAAAAGTCTTAGTTTCTGAAGGCATACTTACTGTTCCTGAGTTAACATATTTCTTTTTCTTCATTTTCTTCTTGTTGTTAATCACCTAAGAAGATAAAAAGATTAATAAAAAGCATTAAATACAGGTAATATTCTTTTACAACTTCTTAAAACTTGATTGGCAATACTGTAAACATATATACATTTTAGATATAATGATAGAAGTGTCTGTCTCTACACATATTTGTCAGAAATAGTTATAGATGAAAATTCATGGCTGAATGTTAAGTTAAAATTGATTCTCAAGTGGAATGGGTTTAATGCATGCGGCTAACATTAAGCTGCATTCTTGCGAATGAAGAACAAGAGAGAAATGCCAATTCAGACACCAAAGACGTCTCAGCTCATTACCTCAATTCTCAATGGCTGCAAGGCATGAAAGTGACAGCCCCTAATTTAACATGGAGGGATGGCAATTTGTCTGACACACCAAACAATCTGCTGATGCAAAAACTAAAGGGCCTTTCAGTCTCACCGGGAGGTAAAGAAGAATCAAATGCAGAGCATAATGGAGCTGACATCTAAAAGACAGGTATTTGTCCTTCGCTGAAGGCCACCAAACCACAGGGGCACGTAGGCATCGACACGTCGTTTATTCTCGGTAAGATTCTGACTTTTAATTCCCACTCAAAAATTTCAGCTCATTTCGATTGGTAGATTTTAAAGAAGAGCTCAAAAGATTGTTGTCATAAAACCATCATATAATGTGATAAATTGTTAAATGAATATCAAAAGTCATGGTTAGGATAAACATGAAATATACTCATGTCATTATTCACGTCCTAAAATGGGATTTTCATAAAAATGAACATTCAAAGCATCAAATAAATCCCTACATTGTTTTTTCTATTAATTTTGCTTCATGCTGCTGCTAATAATTCAATTTCTATGCAACTAAACACACCAGCAATTACAAAGAGAAAAATAAAAAAATAAAGTAGATCAGGTTTTATTGAATGTACTGCAGCTCAGGGAAGGTGGAGAGACAGTAAGACTGACAATAAGAAAGCTCAAGAAAACACACTAATACAATTTTTTTCCAGTGTTTCTTTGTTTCTTTTTGAAACATTTATTTTTTTAGTTCATTTCATAGAAGTAGAGAATGTCCATGGAGAGAAAAGAACTAATGTTAATGGAAAGCAGCGTAACATGGTTGTCGAATGATGGAAGTGTCAAACACATCAGTCACAGGATCGAGATATCTCCCACACTGGGATTCCGTGTTTTAGGATCGAACAGACATGTTGCTGAACAGTGGGAACAGCGAGATGACTCACCTCATACACATTGAACTGACTTTGCCCTCGAGCTAGCTCTCGGTAGCTGGTCGTGAAATCCCCGATGAAGTCATGGCTTGGGAGGAAAAAGTGAGAAGAAAACAAAACGAAGGAAAACAGGAAAGGAAAAACAAACTTTAACTTCAGAAGGGAAGTTTTTATTCTGATCCGAGGGTTTTTTTTTTTTTTGTATTGTTTGCATGTCAGAGCGTGTTGTTGCATGGAATTTTTTTAAAATATGAAAAATACACATTTACAATCACCTGCCATCCCGGTCCCAGTCATACACCTCCACCTTGATTGTTCTGTGGAAAGAAAACACTCAACTCAGAAAACATTTGCACATGATTGTTTTCAAAATAGCATGTTCTACAGCTTTGTTAGACATTAAGCATTTAAGGTTGAGAATTGCATTTCATGCAAAGTTTTTGCAAATAAAATATATCATATTAAGATATTTAATTATCATTTTACATGTTGGCCATGATATAAAAGCACCCATTCCTTCTTAGGAAGCACTTGGACATCTGTTATTTTGTGAAATTACAATCCATACAGCATAAATTTGTTTTATTCTGATTATATGTAGTTGAGTGATATAAAATAAAACAGAATTTTTGATTGTAGGAAAATTCAAACAAGCTTTCTAAAAAAACAACAACAAAATATGGAAAGTGTGCTGTGGATTTGTATTTGGTTACTATGACAATGCACTTACTGCATTGTCACATGATCCAACTTAGCCTTTAAAGATAACCTGAGATGAAAATAATTCCTACTAAAACCACATAAATTATATGAATGCCTGAGAGGTGTGTTTTACAACATTAGCAACTAAACATCCTGATGAAGCTCAAAGACCAAAAAAGAGATGTAAAAAATCCAACTAACAAAGCAAAGTTACATCTGGAGGAGCTTCAGAGAGACACAGCTCGGGTGCGGGAAACAACTTAAAGGACATCCACTGGTTGTGCATTCCAAAAATCTGGTCTTTATGAAACAGTGACAAGTAGAAAGTGTTTTCCTTGACAAAAAGCCATGAAAAATGATACAAGAGAGAATGTGAGAAGTGTGGAATAAGGATCGATGAACAGACCATCCCCACCATGAAACATGTTGTTAGGAGTATCGTTCTCTGCATCAGGGACAAGAAACCAGCAGATGATGGACTCTAAACATACAGCTAGAGCTACAGAACACCACTTTATATTGAAGGACATGTAACATGTAATTGTCTTTAACAAACTCTCTCCATCCACTCTGACAGTGCTGGAGTTACTGTGCAAGGAGATCAGGCAGAAATTTCAGTCTCTAGATGTGGATCTATAACTCAAGTAAATGTTTATTCTACAAAGTACAGATTCAAGTAGGTATAAAGTGGATGCATGTGTCACACACACAAGATTAAACCTTTAATCTACTTTCCCCTCATGTTTGCCTGTCACATAAAATCTCACTAAAATGTACCAGTGACTTGACGAAACTTGAAGACATTAAAAGGAGTATAAAAACTTTCCCAAAATGCTGTGGAATACTTCTAATCTTTTAATCAACAAAGACATGAAATGTTCTGCTGCAGCTGCAGAATAAGGCTGAACAGCAGGGTGTATCATGTGGGGGGGTGAACTTATGTAAAGCTGTTGCTCCAATAGAAACTAAGACTCTGCAGCACATGTTTGCTTCCAGCACTCAAAACTCACATCAACATTTTACGCAAATGCTGCAGAAAGTGCTTCTGCAGACATAAAAGGGACAAAACTTTACTTTGCACTTTCATTCCATAGTCATATTGATCCCGCTTCTGCTTCCCTTCTCTCTTCTTCCGCCTCAACCAAGCACCGACACCTTCCAGATCCAAAGAAACCAGAATCAAGTGATGCATCATAGAAACTTTCCTGCAACTAAGGGACTGAGATGCCTGTTAGAAGCTCAGCTTCCTCTTCACCATCTGGCACATGCTGTTTCTCACTGAAGGTTTGTTCTTTTGAGGATGTGAGCGAAAGAAAATCTGCTTGTCATCCCAATACATACATGGCCCTTCTCCACCAATGTGGAAAAGGAGATCACACAGAAAATGACAGCAAGAAAGAAGTAAAAATAACAGACTGAAACATATTTCCTTTCACAAGCCTAAGTACAGGAACAAATCAAAAGCAGGTGCTGATGTTTAATCGCATATTGATATGTTAATGATACTGATATCACTCAAGTCATTTATCAAATTTTCCTTTTTTAAGATCTGTGCATCTTATCTTCCTGTTGTGGATACGCAAGATATTCTTCTCTCAACTATTGAAACATTTTCATTAATCACGCCTGAAGTTCAATGAAAGGCACCGGTGGAGGGATTCTCTTCATCTGTGGCTTCTGTTTCCTTGTTTTTGGTTTTTCTTCTTGAACCAACATGGTTCATTTAAGTAACCCAAGAGGGAATAATGCAAAATATTTGTTCAGAGTTTTCAGTGAATAACTGTACCACCCACACTAAAGGCAAGTAATTCTCCAGGTGGTGTTGACAAAGGAGCTATAAAAAGATCCAGAACTTACTCCTTTCACTTGATAGCTGCTGACCAAAATAGTCAGCACTCTGAAACACTTCCAACTTCTTTTGTTTCTGTTCACACTCCCACATGTATCTCCATTAACTCATCTGCAACAGGGTCTGTGACATATTAAGTTTCTTTATTTCTTCTGTAGCAGAGTAAATATTATTGCCCTTGTTGTGTACGATCTATTACTCCCCTCTCATTAGTTTCTATCTTCTTGTTTTGAACTCAGTCAAATCTTTTCCTGTCTTCTCTTAATACAACAGCAATGCACATCAAGGTAGTGTAAATACCTAAATGAAACATGTTTTCTTCAAACTGACAGCAGTCCACTATTGCATATCTCTCAAAACACTAAATATTTATTTAAATTATTTTTCTAATGAAGTCTAAAGTATTTCTAAACAAAACTCCAAGTCAACATAACAATTTGTGAATCAAATATAGTTTCTTGCATTTAACTTAACTTTTTAGCATTTTGTTTTATCACAGCAACAAAATGTTGTGTTTTGTTGGTATTTTATATAATTCACTGACGCAATGCAAAAGATCCCAACCATGCTGTCAACTCCTCAGTAACTTTCTTTTTGACCTGTCCAATGGGTTCCTTAGAGTTCACGATTGCATTTTGTCTCCATTTCTCAAAGGTTTAACAGACCTCTAAGGCCTTCACAGAACACCTGCATTAATGCTGACCTCAGCTTGCACTTTAGGAAGACTCTGTTTGACAATTAGGTGATTTTAAAAGATAAAATGCCCAGAAGTATCAGGCCAAAAATCTTCCTCAATGACTTAGGGGTATGAGTGAACAGATGGTAGATTGCAAATGTTTAACAGTCTTCTGACGTGTAAAAACTGTTTATTTGAAGCAAATTTACATTCACTTCATAATACTGCAATGCTTTGTGTTGCTCATTCACTTAAAATCCAAAGAAAATACTTTGAAGATATCAGAACAGCAATGTATCCACTTTGGAAAATGTAGGGCAGTTTTTGTTAACTTGTTCAATCCTTAGATCTCACTCTAAAATAAGAGGCAAGTCCAAACCAAAGTATATCAATCTGCACAATTCACTGCAGATTGATATACAATACTTTCACTGCACCATCAATTCACTGCCGGTGCAGTGAATTGCAATACAATGCAACTGTGTGCAGCCTTGAATTAATTTGAAACATATCTTTATTTTCTATTGAACATGTCAGCGTTTTCAGTCAAAATTTGATTGTTTTTATTTGCATAGGAACGATGAAATAAAGGTGAGGACTAGATAAGTTACAGTATGACTTATTTGATGAAGAGGTCAAATTTTGATTCCAGATTTTACTAGGATGAGATGGCATGTTTTGTTTGGTACATTAAATTGCATTGAACACATTTTTCACCTCTGCTGAGGAAACACAAATAGAAAGCTTTCCTTTACCTGACAGATGTGAACAGCAATTGTGCAGCCTAAAAAGCTGTGTTTGGCAAATACCTATGCTGTGTATATTATAAACAGTTATCCAATGCATATATATGGACGGATACAAATCAAAGTAAGAAATTTATGAAAACATTGTTGCAACATGTCAGGACATCAGATCTAAAGCAGGGATGGTAAGTAAGAGAAAATAACCTCATGTCTTCTAATACAGTCATATATACACATCATGTATCATCTTTGTGCTTATGTTATCAACATGAACAAAAATATAACCAAGCACCACTTGGAAATTTAATCACACTCACAAACTTAAAACTTCTCTTATCCGATGTGTTGATGTTTCAAGATGCTCCATGTCAAATTTCTTTCCACAGAGCAATGGGTATGTGAGCATCTTAAGCATTTCATTTTATGTGTGTTTGTTTGGCACAGAAACATTTTAGGAAGAGCCTTTTATGCCCATGTATATCTGGATCTGGCAAAATAAAAACAGTTTGGACTGGTGTATGATTGACCACCTGATAAGTTTCATCCATTTTTACCAAAGCTTCATGTTTCCTCAATGTGGCAACCCTCCATATCCATAAAGTAAGTATGTTTGGGATTTATCTCAGCTTTCTTTCTCACACACCAGGTTCTCAGCAGTTTCTGTAATTAGTTTGACTGCATACAAACAAGATAAGGCAGACACCTTTGAGTAAGACAGAGATGAGAAAGGAAAAGTTAGAAAAATGGATTGAATATTCCTTGTGAAATATGTGACCCCATAAAGGCAATCTGCCTGTCACTCTATCCTTTCATCTATCCTCAAAGTTCCTTCAAGATTTATCTTGTTTACTTCACACCACTGTCTTTTTAAATTAGAAATATGCAGATAAGCTTTGAGAAAAGTGAATTCTTATCATCATTGACTAAGCAAGTTTGCATTAATAATGTGCCTGCTAGGAAAGAAGCAATCCTGCATTTTAATTATTATTATTATTATTATTATAGTTGTTGTGTTTTTTTTTATTTTATTTGTAATTTTTTTGTTGATTCTGTTTTTGCTGTTTTCAATATTTCTTCTCTGAACATTCAGCATTTGCCACCATTAAAGTATTTAACAGAGTGGGTTGGAAATGTTTTCATATCCATTAAACTTTTCCCTATTTTCTGACTTTACCTCCAAATGTCAGGGCATTTTACAAGATTTTGTTTTGGCTCAATAGAAAGCAGTTACTGATTGTGGAGTAGAAGAAAAATATTCTCTGGTGTCACAGAAACCAGTGAATCTAAAAAATGTTTTGCACCTCTGAGAAAAAGCTGTAGTAGAACATCAATTTAATTACGTTTACAACTTCATGTTTTATAGTAAGTCCACACATCAACATGCGAAAATGTCTGCTCAAACCTCAAAAAAGCTGCAAAACAACTCATGCTAAGTCAGACTGCATGGAGCGCGTCTCTGACCATAAACTAAAATGACCCTCAAGGGTTATTTTTCTGGTTGAATTAGATTAGACAGGCCCCTGAGCTGTTTATATGTTGTTTAACAATCAGGATTTTTTGAGTTGCACTTTTAATTAGTTGAAAAGGATGACATATATTTGTGTCCACCCACATTCACTCTGATACCTTATTCTTATTTAGATAGGCAAGACATAAACTATTTCAGAAAGCAACAGCTGATCATTTAAAATGTAATGTCTTTCTTTTATTTTAAAGAAAGTAGTTTAGGATGTGAAAACAGCTAAATAGTTTTATCCACTTTACCTCAATCTTTCCTTCTAGGCATAGAGACAGAATAAGTCAAACCATTAGCTTCTAAATTCATTCTAAAGATGACAGAAGACATTTATGGCTTGTTCTAATGTACCAAGTTGTGAAAAAATTACCAATCCGGACAGTTGCAGCAAAAAGTCATAGACTTGGAATCTTTTCCTTTAGCTATACTGCATTTTCACTTAAAATAAAAAAAGAAAAACATGGTCATACAGACTAACAGATCTGAAAGAGACGAATACAGAGCCCGTAGCTACTTTGAGGTAAAAATGGTTGCAGAAAAATTGTTTAACAGGTACAGATTCCTACAAGCTAAAGTGTTTTTATATTTGAACAGAGTGTGCTAATCACTCCACTTAGTCCACTCACTGTCAGTTAGAAAACATTAAGAAGAGCTTTAATGACAGTCGACGGACTGAGCCAGCAGGAATCAGTGACAGTAGACACCAGTCATGGTTAAAATGTATTAATGATCTGGTAGAAATAAAGGGGAAAGTGCAGGGTCAAATAAAAAACAGCAGAACATATAGGGCAGAGGGGACCTGTGTTGTACCTGTCGTAGTCTCCATTGCAGAGTGCTCTCACTGGGATGGTAAAAGGCTGCCACACTGGATTTAATGTGTTCTTCACCACCTCTGTTTTGTGGCAGATAGTAAACCTAGAGGCAGAAGAGAATGGACATAAAAAAGGATATCTTCAAAAAAGAGTGTTGGGAAGAAATTTGATTCTTTGTTGCCTACAAAACCTGGAGGAAATGAAAGAGAGATACACTAAATGTGCAAAGAAGGGGGAGGAGTGTGTGGAGATACAGGGGAGAGATCAATCAGTCATATCTTGCAGTGACAGGAGAAATGCTTTAAATAGAGTTTTGTTTTCCTCTGGTCCCACGTCTCAGACCACAGAGACCAATTTAAAATTCTACCCTGGCTTTTAAATTCTCCCTGTGGAGAAGAAGTGTGACAATGACCTGCAAATGGATTTTTCAGATATGGAAAATGTTTTGCAGAGAAGATATCACCCAAATACCCTCTTGAAATGCAACAACATGTACCGTGCTTTTGTTTTTGCCTTAATCCAAATCCCTGGTTTAGGCTGTCTGTGCTTGACTGTGTTTCTCTAACCTTTTACTGTCCAATGACTCCTTTAACCACACAACTGCAAGTCCCCTACTGTAGTCCGGGACTTGCAGGAGACACACTTTCAGCAAGACTAAGGATTCTCTACTCACTCTGGTAATTTCTATCGAAAAAGGTTTTAGAAAAGCCTGTAGACGATCTTTAGAAAGATACAGCTGACTTTGCTAGAAATACAAAGCCCTATGATCAACTGGGGAGTACTTTGAGAGGAGTGCTCCTCCTGTGAGGAGATTGAAGAGCGTTATGCATCTCTTTGTAAATTGCTTCTGCAATTGGCTGCTTTTACCTCATTAATGTAAAATGCAGATGCCGAGGTTTTGTTATCCCCTCTTTCCATACATTTTTACATTAATTGCCTCTTTTTTTTGGTTTGCAGTCCTGGATTAATTTATAAGTTGCACTATAAAAATTTTACTTGTAATTTGAAAAGGATACATGGGTCTTTTTATACATCCTCGTATGATGTGCATGCCCCAATAACCACCTCAGATTTCCTCTCAGATTGTGCAAGAAAGGAACACAGTTTATGTAATTAATTTTCGTCCTCTTCACTTACATTTTTTATTAGGAATATTTGAACATTTTTAATTATTTTTTGACAAAAAAAAAAAAAAAAAAACTTGTTGCAAGGATTTTTTTGTTGGAAAATAGTCCATAAACTCTTTATGTTGTGAGAGCTTAAAGTAATGCACAACTGTGAGCTGGAAGGAAAATAATTTATATTTTCAAATCCCTTATCAAAACAAATCTGGAAAGTGAATTCATTTTATGAATAAAATTAAAGCTGCAAGTATTTTGCGATGTATTTCTATCACCTCTGAAAGTCTAGCGACTAAAATTATTGTCAATTCTTATTTGTAAAATAGTTGGCCTATTAAATTCAGGCCTGTACTTTGATTGGGTGATTCTAACACACCAAATATTGTTTTGCATCCTTTAACTGTATTTCTAGCTTTCACAATATCTAATCTGATGGTTGCAAAAAGGGTTGCATGACATCCTGAGAAAGACACAGTGATGCCATACATTCTGACAAAGCAGAAAATGCCAACATCAGATGAACTTACGTGCCATCCTCATTGCTTCTGTAGAAAACCATGAAAGGATCAGACTTGCCAAAAAAATCCTTTTTGTCCAGCTTGTTGGCACAGAACTGCATGGTTGCACTGTCCTGCAGAAAAGCATAGACATTAGTGAAGGCAAGCTCTTTAAGGTGTTATTTATAGTGACCTATCTTCCTCTTAGATTCAAAACATCATGAGACTAAAGTGTATGAAGTGTTATCTTCTCAAAAAAATCTTAATAAAACACACGTCACACAATGTATTTTTAATGGAACGAAGGGTTTTAGGATTTTATCATTTAAAATTCATAAATGACAAAAGGAAAATGTTTTTTATGACCTCAGATTGTAAAAAACAATCTGAGCTTCTTGCTGGTTTCTGTGCATCAAAGAAAATTTTAAAGGTAAAGGTCATTTCATTTATATAGCACATTTTCAGCAGCAAGGTAATACAAAGTGCTTTACAGGATTTAAAAGGAAACGCAAACAAAATAACAAAGCAAGAAGAAAGAGCTAGAGAAAAAAAAGCTAATAATGTTGATCCAAAGTAAATAAACTAGAAATGCTTTGACTGTCTACAACATAACAGACTTTGAAAGGAAAACAAAAACCTACAAATACAGCAGCACAATTTCTTACCCAAAGTACGTATTTTTGTGGAAAATTTGTCAAAATTAGCTTGCACACTATAAATGTCTCCTGCTTTTAGGCCTCCGCTTGTAAACTGCAGGCTCTCAGCCAGACGATCACTCTAACATTATCTACAAACACGATCCACTATGAAAGTTTGCGTGTGTGTGGCCTTTTGTTTGATACATTGTAAGGACTATTTTTCAAAGACACTTACTATGCTTTATGGACTGGATGTTCCTAGTGGAAAGACATACTATGTGTATGCGTGCATGTGTGTGTTCATGTTTACCTAAACATTAAGAAGACATTTTTAAATTTCAAATCAGGCAACTGCAGATACTAACCGATGGTCTTGCCAACACTAGTCTAACTCCATCATGAGTAATAGTCATCATGCTAACTCTTTCTGATACCTGTCATATTCACAGTGAACGCTTCAGAGGCTTCTAAGATCTTAGAGAGAAAAAACAAAGCAGGGAGGATTTTTATTTTCTGCACCAAATTCTCTTCTTGCATGTTAGCTTTTAGGTACGGTACATTGCATTAGATGTTCGCAGTTTTATTTCAGGAATAATTCATACTTGTAGGTATTTGTTCATAAAAGCTTCTGGAACAAAGTAATTGTGACAGCATCATTTTAAAAATGATCAGGTTTTTAAAAAATGCTAATAGGACAAACTGATATGTTTTCATATGGTAGAAAGATATTCAATTCACATTAAAATCTTTAAACTGAGCAACTAATTTAACTTTGCACTATTGTAGTTGATTGCAGTTCTTCATAAACACCACCACATCTTAAAAAGTAAAATACCTTGAAATGATCAAGATATATATGATGTGTCAAATCCAATATTAAGCCTAGAAGAGGGACTTAAGGCTAATTAGAACATAATGTGTCCATTTTAAATTTTCCCTGGTGATCTGTTAATCTGAAACTTTAAACCAGATTTTGTTTCAATTAGCGAAACCACCCAAACCAATGACTACTGGGTCACAGAAGCATTGACACATGCATTTCAGAAATCAACATGAGGTTAACAATGATTTAGTCAAGGGAAGAAAATAAGCATCTAGAAAAATGTTTTCTGCAGAGCTATTCCAGCCATTCTTTCAGGCTCCACCTAAAGGGTGACATTAACAGATAGCAGGAAGCTGGATGCCTTTCAGTGCCCTGTTTTATCATTTTTAAAAGTTCAGTTATCTGTAATGAAACATGTCGGATTAGAAAAATATAGGGAGTCATTTGAAAATCACAGCATAGCAAATGGCTGACTTCATCTGCAGCGAATACACAGCAACGCTAAATATGTGCTAAAATATGTGCTAATTGTTAATGTAAGATGAAAAAAACTGCTTAAAATATTTTAAATATTCACAGCTAATATAAATGAATGAATGAATGATTGATTGACTGAATGAATGACTGAATGATTGATTGACTGAATGAATGACTGAATTACTCAATGAATGAATGAATGACAAATCAGAGCGTTTCCCTACAGATAGGTGGAAGACAAGTGTTATTTTGGAAAATAATCTTTGAAAAAAAAATGTAATCCTTTGATATATGATACGCCACTACATTTTGTGGTGTGTAAAAAAAGTTACTGATGTATAATCTGTCTTATAAAAGAGGTTTGTTGTTGCTCCTTGGATTTTTCTTCCACATTTGTCTCTACCCTGTAGCCTGGAGAATATTACAGAGTTTATCGAGTCATACAGACAAAGAGAGCTCTGTAATTTTATTTCACTAAAACAAACTTTCATTAAGAAAGTTACCATTTATAAAAGATTAGAATTTTTTTTAAATGTTGTTCGTCATTGTTCTGAAAAATAAATCAGGATGGGTAAAAACTGGAACCAGCATGTCAGAACTTTAGAAAATTAGCAATCAAACACAAAACACTTACTAACTAATGTATATTCTCTTGTGATGCATATTGCTCTTGCAAACAAATGAACCTAATGTGAGTTTTTATCTTTGTCCTTTTTTAGCAAATGCTGCGTTTCGAAGGCACTCCAAATATACGCCACTTGGTTGCTGTTGAATCTCTTTGCATTTGATTGTCTCCACCCCTCCCTGTTTGTTTGACTCACTCTGTGTAATGGCGTCTGACTTATCTCTGGCTTTTAACCACTAATCTTTGAAACTCATTAGCTTATTACCATACATTTAGATGTTGCATCACTGTGGATTTCTATTTAGAGCCTTAAAACATTCCCCTCTTGCCTGTCAAGTGTGGCTTTGTGTCATGGGGCAACTCAGCAAATGATTGTATGACAGGGAACGTTTCTACACACACATACTGTACCTCGATTATTATTTTAGAGCCTGTGCGCATTTTGCTACCGTGTCTGCGATGTGTCTTTATCTGACACAAGCAGACACCGGGCAGCATACACTCCTGAACACATCACATCCACTCAGCTCCAGCAGAAATAAGGGACCTATATCTGCATTCATGCCCTCACCCCGAGGACACGTGCACTCTACTTGACTGGCTTTTGACACAGCTCGCCTACGCATACTTCACTCTGGCTTGCAGTCTAATTCTTTTAAAAAATTCTCCTTTAATCCATTGGGAGGCTGTGGGCTGCCTTACTGCTCAGTGATGGATTAATATGATTTATTTTATTTTTTTGCCTATACATATGAAACTATTGAAATATTTGCTGTAGCAACTGTTCTGATTTAATAATAATAAAAAAAACTTGCACTGCATTAAGTAAACTGCTGAATCAAATGCCTGTCATCTCATTAAATTGAACCCTTGGCTTGGTGAACCTCAGAGAACTTGACGAGTCTTTTTTTATGTTATTTGTAAGTATTGCAGAATAATTTACACCAAGGGGATTGTTGGAAACATAGGTAACCCAGAAGACCCCAGCAAGTCAGGCAAAGCTGCCCATTTACATGAATGCACCAGATCACCACAACATTGGTCACAAAAAGCAAATGTTTATTTATGTAGCACGTTTAAAACAGCCTGAGTTGACCAAAGTATTTCACAACATCATCACAAGTAGATAAATGATAAGATAGAAAATAAAATTATGTCGTTACATGGGAAAGACTCATTTTAATCTTTGGACCCAACTGGACAAAACTCCCTTATTTTAGATGTAAATGAATGTACTGTAGACCTCATTAACAATGTTCTAACCAGCTTTCACTGGCTTTCTTATTGGGAATTAATTGGACTTCCAATGACTTTCCGAACAAGCTGGTCACATGAATTTGGTTGTTTAACAGTGAGAGTTTGGCTTTGTTGCTGCTCTGAGTCAGGACTCATGAGACAATCTCCACAGAGCTGATGGGGACATAAAAGCATTTATGGTGATGGAATGCGTTCGGGGTATTAAATATGCATCTGCTTCAGGCTCATTAATGTTTTGCAGCACGTACACACACACTCACAAAGCTCTGTGATCAACAGCCATTTGCTAATATGGAGAGAATCAGAGTATCAATATTTAAAGAGGGGGGCAGGCAAGGTAGATGCACATTTAAGCCCCTGGGGACAAATGAAAGATTGTTTGTGGCAAGAGAAAGATCAGTGTGAGAATGTGTGTCACTGTTCAGAGGTAAAGCTAAACTAATTAAGGAAAGAGATATAGGGAGAAGACAGAATTAGTGAGGGTCTATGTTCTGCGACTCTACGGAGTGAATACAGAAAAAAGGGTAATTGGCAGACATAAACGAGGGGAAAAATAATGAATCAGTTAAAAGCTAAACTGATAAAGTAGAGAGATGAATAAAGAAGGTGGACTTAATGGAATAGACAGTGATGAATGATATGCTGATTGTATAGTTTTCCTGCATGCTGTGAACGCTTGAGTGCTCAGTCAGAATGATGAGAACGAACCGCCACGATCTCAGCTGGCTCTGAAATAAGTCTGTGGATGCTACTTGTGGGATTTCTGCATGGAGCTGTTTCTTAGGCAGCATTAGTTTACTCATGCCTGCTTGGGTTTAATGTGACAAGAAATCTTTATGTGATTTATATACAAAACAAGACTGTATATTAGTGAAACAGCACAACTGCTGCCAAAACCACTGTGGCTTCCTTTCACTAATCACTGCATGACCAGCCCCATTAGACTTTTTTTTTTTTTTTTTGCCTGTATCGGATATTTTTCCAACCTTTTACTTATTCTCAACACTCAGTGTGAAATCCTGCTCAGCTCTGGGTCGTAAACAATAAAGTCAGTGTTGTCTCTTAGACGCATGGCACAGTGTGAAGCCAACTTTAAAAGCTCCCAATAGGACAACAAGTTCAATGGAAATACAGGAAGGGAGGCAAAGAAAGCAAGGCTTGGCATTTGTACATATCCAGACACAGTCCTGTTTGAGATGAAAAATGTTTCATTTCAGCAAAATGTTGTTTTCCAAAGCTGTCAAAGACTAAAAACATAGGGCCTGTATATGTGAGAAAACTTAATATATGAATTAACAAAACTTTACTGTTTCTTCTGCCTGAAACAAAGATCTCTATTGTGTACATCCCAAGTTTTTCACAGGCAAACCCACAAATTGATATACAAGTAAACAAATAAAACTACATTTATCTATTTGGTTTGTAAAGTCACTGTGTAGGTTGATTATGCATAGACAATTTTGATTTGCTTTCTTTTTTGTTAATTTTAGTAATTATATCTAACAGCTCATGTACAACCCAAAGGACTTTCAATTGCATATTTTCTAAAGTTCTGTATGTACTGTATGTTATAAGCACTCATGCCATGATTAGGCCTACTTTTGCCTATTTTCCTGCATCAATTTGATGTAGCATGGAAATGGTTAGTCTGTGACTGTGCAGAGGTGCAAATGGAAGCTCACGTTACTTTAACTGCAGCCTTTGGGTCATCTACATTATTGGATTTGGTGTCTGTCATCTTCTCTAGGCAGTAATTCTCCATTGCTGACCATAAATCCCATGGAAGGGTCAGGACAACGAAAGGTGACTTGCCCAGGGCGTCAAATAGGCCAGGGCTGCCTCTGTTCACACTGGAACTTAAGCAGCATGTAACATAACCTCTTTACTCTTCTTCCAAACTCTGATCCTCATTACACAAGAAGCAAAATTGACTTTAATCTAAAAAGACTTCACTACTGAGCAACAATCCAGTCCTTTTTGTCCTCAACACATTTCTGATGTTGTCTCTGGTTTAACACATCGATTGCAACATTTGTGGATATATTTCTAAGTCGCTTGTCTTAGCACATTGACTCAGTCTGCAATGCATTTCCTGAAAATCTCCAATAAGCCTCCTGGACTGAAGTTATCCCTGTTGCTTGTGAACAAACTTCCCCTACGACCTGTCCTTCCACTCAACTTTCATGCAGTAAGTTTGGTAATAATCTGAAAATAACCTGTGAAGAGCTAACTTATTCAGCAATGATCTTTAGTGACTTAACTTCTTGTCAATGAGTTTTGCTGGAGAACTGTCCAGTCAGTCAGTTTAATTGACTTTAAGCCAATTGTTTGTAATGCATAGAAATACATGTTGGAAAAATTCACTCTGTGTGAAATAAATCTGTGTAATATAATTATAACTTTTTTAATTCAATTACTGAGATAAAACTTTCTGATAATATTCTAAATTATTGACATGTACCTGTATAATGGAATCTTTAATGAATGTCACCAAGGAGATAAAAATGATTATCTACACAACATTGTCTTATGAGAATCAGAGCATCACATGGACCTGCTTTAAATTGCCTTGCTGTAACTTGGTTAGGAGCCTTTTTTAGTGGGTTAATATTGGAATGAGACTTTCAATGATATTTCAACAGGAGCTCAAAATGAATTCATTAAACCTGAGTGATAATGTGACAAATGCATCTGTCACAAATCTTAGAAAATGTTTATATTTGCATAAAATCACTACCAGCTGTGCCTAGTGTTTGCTTTGAGTTAGTTTTTATGTGGTTAAAAAGTACAAATTGATCCATTTTGCATAAGCAAATATTTTGGATTTACAATCCAAAACGTTTGAATAGCTTTCCTGCAGAATTTGAGAATTGTTCAGATAAACTTAAATTGATACTATTACTGCTCGGCTCATGAACCAGATCAAATGGGAGAAAAATCTCCCTCTCACTGCCACCTGTGTTCCTCACGTTCTCGTTGGATTGAAGCCATATGGTTGTCATCTATCACTGTCTTTCTGCTTGGGAAATAATGTGATTCAAAATTATCTGAGACATTTTGTCCCAATCTAATTTTGTTTGTTGAATCTACAAATCTTAGGATGGATGAACTCAAAATTAGAAAAAGCGTCAGGCAGAAACCGAAGGGGTTGGATAACCATAAACATCTGGAGTTATTTACTATGAATTTGTCTCTCTAGTCATTTTCAAAAACCTTATTTGTGTTCTGGTGAAGACTAAAACAACAAATTGAGATTTTAAAAAATAATTATATCTTGAAATTAAGATGTTTTTGAGTTTTGGTGTCTTGTGACTTGAGCTGTTTTTGGAACGACTGTCACAGCCTCAGATTGTTGTGAAGAAATTAGGTCTCACTTCTTGCAAATTTCCTAAAATCACGGAGGTTTGCAGACATCAGTTTCTGCATAACCCTCTGCTGCAGCCCATCCATTCAGGTTAATGTCTCACTTTTGACAGGGTCATTGCCATTTCAAAACTAAACTGAAACCCACAGTCTGGTGTCCCTATAAGCTTCTTATTCAGTATTCTTGCTCCTCCTCTATTTTTTATTTTTGTGTAGGGGCGCAGTGATGGAAATACTTTAACTTCTCAAACAATATTTTCTCTGAGAAAGTCTAAATATTGCCTACATGATAAATTAATGAGGACTGCATGTTGTTTTAAACACTTATTACTCCCAATCAGCAGATCTCACAGCATTTCCATTGGCTGCTATTTGAGTGGCTAATAAACTGATGAAAAAGCTGGCAGTGTTTTCTCCTGTGCAGTAAGGTTGATAGTAAAGTCACTGAATTGTTTAGCAATTTCATATACATTGTGAAAAGACAAACAAATTTATGAAGAATAATGTTCCAAAGTGTTGCAATATTTATAGTCATAAATGGGATGTGCTACATCTTTAAATAATGTAATAGCACAAGTATGTGCAGAACTATGTGTTCTCAAATCCCATTTAAATACAATTTCAGTGCACTGCGGTGTCTCTTCATTTAAATGATTTAGCAATAAAAAAGGTCCATAAAATCCGGTTCAGAAATCCTACGTTACTGCAACCAAAAGTTGAACTCTCACCAGACACATCTGAATATATCAGATCAAATTCTTTTGACATTGCTCACAGTTTTTAAATAAGAAAAATCTTAAAGAGCATGGAGAAATTTGGGCTTTTAACACAAAATGTTATACTTTTAAATATAAATGTTGAATTTATAATGTAAGCACTATGAAAAACCTAAGGGCATAAATACTTTTGCACAAGAACAGTTGTTTCCTGCTACTTTTCACCTTGGAGTAAGATGCTAAAAAAAATAAAATAAAAAAAATAATAGTAAAAAAAGCTATTCTAAAGTATCGTCTTACACCTACTCTCTCCCACTGCCTGACAAAATTAGAGTAGACAATAACACAAGCTACCAAATGCAAAGATGATGTTGACCTCTCTAACCTCCCCAGACCTGCTGGCAGTGCAGAAAAGCACCTCACATAACCTTGAGATATAGTTTATATTCCATCCAAGAATTCAGTATTTGAGGAAAACTGTTTCCAGCTGAATGACTGAGGGGCTGGAAAATATTAACAATCATTTAAAATGAAAATAATTAGCATAATATAGAGGTGGTTTATAAGAGAATGTTTGTAAGAGATCTTTGTTGAAGCTTTATTCTGATTCAGATGTTGCCAGGAGATTATTTGCAATCAAGATCTTCATGTTATATGGTGGTTTGAGTGAGGAGTATTCAGTAAGATTTAGTTTGTGAAATGCTCTTTGTATAAGAACATAAGCGAGGATTAAGACCACAGAGGAGAGTCAGGATTTTGTCAGAGGGGAAGAGCAAACTTTTTATACATTGTACAAGGACTTGTCAGGACTACTTTCACAGCTGAAAAAGTTGTCCTAATTTGTAAATCAGAATTTTAGAGTTATTTTGATATCTTACAATTTAGAGAGAATCATGTGTAAATGAGAGCACTGTTATTGAAAAGTCAGGCAAATTGAAATACATATAGCAAAGAGAACAGTAGAGAAATTTTTAAAATCTGACAATTCAAGTGCTCACAGAATGCTAATGTGAAATTAGTATATATTTTGCATTAAAAAAATTCAAAATTTGATAATAGAAATAGCATGAATTGAAAAAAAAAAAGTACTTTATGTTTGTTTTATTTTAAATTTAGCTCAATATGTTTAGGAAAGTCTGAAAACTTAACCTATGCAAAACAAATGAATACCATCATCCACCTTATTTCAAATTCCTTCCAGCCAATCATTATTGTTAAGTTTATTTGACAGGGACATAAATGTAATAAAGCAGTAGCGCCTGCCCTTATCATGGTGCTGATAGAGTGAGCTAACTAGCAGCATTTTGTCCTTAGATGGGCTTTTCTAATCTGTAACGTGAGAAATGTTTTTAGGCTTTGCCCTCATGTAGCTCTGTTAGTAAGCTCCGAATCAGAGAGAGGAGGTTGTAAGAGAGAAAGATGCTGAAGACTCACATCAATGTGAGTCTTCATCATCCAGCTGCATTCAAGTGTGTACGGGCCACAGGCACATATACTCACCCAGCTGACCATGCTGTGACTACACAGACAGAATTAACACCAGCAGCCAGCAGGGGACAAGGTCACACAGTTCTTCCTGGTAATTAACCTATGCTCTGCCTCCAACTAAAACCAGCCAGGACTTTTTTTTTTTTTTGTGGCCGGTTCACATTGGCATGAAACGATCCTGCGCCAATTCCTTTTTGTGCTGCTGTATCTCTCTAAGCCTGTTTGAATTTTCCACCTTTTCTCTTTCACCTACACTCATGCTCTTTTCTTTCCAGCTTTCTCTTTTGTTGTGCTCATTAGTTTTCTGACTCCTCTACGTTTTTAATTTTGCTTTTGGTTCAATTTGATCAACATTATTTCATTCGCTGTCCTACCCCCCAATCTGGTGTGAGAGGAGTTCAGTGTGGCTTTCGCAGGAGCCCACCTGAGAAAACGGCACACATTTAAGGTTGATAGGGGGCTCTGGGTGATGTTTCTGCACAATTTCATTGCACAGCAGGTCACTGTATGGAGTGAGGAAAGAGCTGCTGTATGGCTTCCACAGAAAAAAATCCAGTGTTTCCGTTTCATGTCCCGACTTTAGGAGAGGTACATGTGCATGTATTTTCTTGTTTACATGTATATTTGGGAGATTATCACAATTTACTCACTCGACAGTTGCTGAGCTCTTCTGCCGACAGGATGATTGTGCCACATTTCTTCCCAGGAATCCCTCTGTGAGGAAAAAAAGATGGGAAATCTTAATCCAAATTGCAGAAAAAATAATCTTCTCTGCAGGATTTGTTCTTAGAGGATTAATGCAGAGTATTACATTAATTACTTATACTAACTGTGTCTTAATTCTCCTGACATTACCGTAAAATCCAGCAGAATGAAATATACCGTTAAAAATTAAGTGCTTTGAAAGATTTCATGTGAATTAATCAAAACATTTAGAAAACTGTTTTTATTTAAATATTTACACACTTTGAATCTTAACTTATAACCAGCAGATCTCATCTTTGGTGAATCAGTCATCACTGCAGTAAAAGTGTTCAAATATTACATTTTATGTATTTTGAAACATTAGTTGGATTATTTTGTCCAGAGGATAAAACTGAGAAATGCTCTTCAGACAAATAAGCTCATCACTAGTGCATAAAAATCCTATTGTACCGTTTTAGCCCAAACTGTTTTATTGCGACCATTGAGCCATGTATGTTTGGCAAGACTTAAATAGGGGAAAGTGAGTACATTTTTTTTTGCTCCATCAGAAACAAGAGGGAATCTGAAGCTTCAACAAGTTAGATTTCCGTGACAACTACAGGCTTTAAAAGAGTGATGGTTTTGACGCTTTGGGGTTTTAACTTAATACACCAAGGTCAGAGGCCCGAATAGAGTATTTCCCAGATGTGTAAAAAATTGTTTTTGGCTCCTCTACCAGGTTTGAGAGTTTTTGAGCAGAAGACGGAGACCTTCGATTCACACACTGAAAGACTCCAATCGATCCTCAGGTGAGAAAAGCAAAGCTGTTCACACAAGTGATGGATGCATGAAACTGTGTGAGTGTTTCTTTCTCTTTTTTGTTTTTTTACCCAAAGTTTTCTTGGACACCATCTCAGACCCTTGGCACCCTGTCAGCTACAGATTCAAACACTGAAATTTTATTTTCTCACCCTGCATGTCACCCTATCAATTTATTTTTCAAAGAAATAGCTTTTTAAATTAAACCTATTAAGCTTCCTTAAACAAGTTAGAATAGATCTGTGGGCTTTACAAAATATGCTCCTTAAAATTTTTCTACAAAATTACCTAATGGCATTTCACCTGATTAGTTCAGCCTATTTTATCCCATTTTTAGAATGAGCTGCATCACAATTATACAACTAAGCTGCAGCTGACTATGGCATCCCACAACTTTTTTGTCAAATATTTTTGAAATCATATATCAATTTCCTTCAACTTCAAAATTAGGTTCTACTTTGTGTTGTGGTTTAAGTGTGACAAAATGCGGTGAGGTGTGAAAATGTTTTGGCAGCAATAGTTTTGTCTGGTAATAAACAATAATATATTCCTATATGGAGTCCTTCTTATTTGCCTTTTCCAAAAGAAAAAAAATAATCAAAGCTGTTTTTCTAAAGAAATGTATCTACAAAGACTTAATTTGTAAACTGCACTGTTAATAATATTGATTAAAAAATTCAAATATGTAGAGTCCCTGGGAAGGTGCCACAAAACACACAACTGCATATTTGAAATAGTAATCAAGCAAAAGCACCTTTAAAAAGGCTGCAATTTTTTTTGAATGAAGCTGGAGTAACACAAAATAAAGGAGGGATTTATTTTATTATTTTAGGAATAACAAAGATCTTAAAAGACCAGCAGAGCACTCTGAACATTTTTGAATGTCCACGAAAGATAAGCAGGAAGAAAGTGCACTAATAGCTACTGAATGGCACATATGCGCAAAACCAGAGCATATCTCTTATCAATCAATCAAATTTTATTTGTATAGCACATTTCAGCAGCAAGGCATTTCAAAGTGCTTTACATCATAAACACGAAAACACAAAGTCATGCATCATGGAATAAACAATACATTGTTACATATTACATTTCAAATACATTTCTAAACAGGTTTTAGAAAGGTTTTTAATTGAGATTTAAAGGAAGTCAGGGTTTCCGCTATTTTATGTGAAGATTCAAGATGAGCCAAGAAACTCAACTCAGTATTCACACATACAAGCATGAATACTCTATTTTTACTCCGTAATGAGAACCTGCATTGAGAGAAGCCTCAGGGAGTCACAGACCTGAGCCAATGCATGAAGATGCTCTGAGTAAAACTGTTACATTTATTTAGAATGGTTATTAGGAGCTAAGAAAAGAACATCAGGGAACTGTAAGGATGGGCCCCTCATGCAAACTACACATTATTTCTTCCAGACAACAGTTTTCTCTGAAAACAAACTTATTTAGTGTATTTCTTAAGCATTCTCCAGTCGAGATGAAAGGACATGCAAACAAGATTTTTTTGTGCAATGTTAAATTAGACTGATACAAAGATATAAAAGTGATTTAAAATAAATTGTGAAGAATGATTAGTAAAAACATTGTTTGGTTTGTTTTCAAGTTCTACACTGACTGCACAAAGTTTATTATGAACAAGTGTTTGATTATCTTCCTGAAAACGTTCTACTAGTGCAGCAGTTAAACGTCGGCACAATACTTTCAAATACAAAAGCTTGTGTGTAAGGTCAAATACTGCTGTACACGTTCAGGCCTCTTGAGACAGAAGGTGAACTGTGAGCAATTCAGGAGCACTCTGCCAAACAATGGCTCCTCATTGATTCAGCTGACAGACCCTGATCAATATTCAATAGATCAAGAAATGTGATCTGAAAGTGAAAGGAAGAGAGTTAAGGAAAAAATATATACCTTAAAGGGCGTTTAAAGTCTAGAGACACAATTAAGATTTAGCTAACGACATTACAGGATTGTCTTTCAGTTTGTTATATCCGGAAAGAAACATATAGTAATACTGACAACAGTAAAGAAATTATTGTGCGACTGGGCCATTTTAAAACAGAGCCAATACACCCAGCTTGCATTTGATAAACTTCTTCAGGCGGTCTGATAAAATCATTTTCTGTCTTATTATAGATGCATACGAAGATTATAAACAAGAGTCTTTAAAAGAAAAAAATAATTGCTTGAACTACAAGCCCAGGAATAATGGATGTTCTGGAATCCTGACTATAAAACTTTTGCAATTTACATAGTTAGAGCAAAATGCATTCTCATAACATTTCTCACTCAAGAAAAAAAAAAAAAAAACTTAAATATCTAATTTACATCAAATGGTTTAGAGGAGAAATTGTAATACTTACTGACATGCTACTGACAGATTTATTTTTATTCAGCTACATTTCTTTCTCACAGAAAGTGATACAAAATTATATCAATAAAAAGAATAAAACAATGTAAAAGAGCTATTCATTTTTGAAAAGAAACATGTTTTGATTATTTATTTTTAAATAAAATAGAAAAAATGTAATAAAATTAACCACATCAAGAATTAAATATACCCTTTTGAATAATCAAAGGAAACATCGTTTTGAGCTTTACACCAATCAGAATTGCTGACCAGTTCTTTGTGCATTTCCACAAGAACATATTTAACTTTGGTGATGATAAATTTGTCATTACACTAAAACTCGGCTCACTCCACAGATTTTCTCAGACTAAAGATGGGACTTTGGTTGGGCATCCCCTAAATTTAATAATGAATCCATTCAGAAAAACATCTTGGCAAAATTAACCTAAGTCTGTATGGATTATGAATAATTTGGGGTTTCACCATAAACACTCACTATTTGTAAAAATGTTTATATTTGGGGGATTTTAAGAGTTTATTTGAACCATTAAAATAAATTCTTAAAATCGCCTTCACTGTCTGCACTAAAAATAGTCAAAAAGTTTATTTTTTCTATTCAATAAGCACCAACCAGATGATTGCTCATTTCTTGTTGAGCTTTGGTTGGTTCTGGGTTGTTCCTGAGCATGGTTTTCAAACAGATAAAGCAGGATAACATTAAGAGTGGTCTGAATCTCCAGAAAAATGAATTAATTTTCCTTAAAAGCTGAGTCAAAAAAAGTCAAATGTGTCCTGAAAGGAAAGCAGTTACAGTTTTACCCAAAATTGTGTCAGAAGCTTCTCGTAGGTCCGAAAGGCATTTAATTTCTCTGCAGCTCGCTGAGAGACATTTAAGCAAACTTTCGCATGGGGCTATGCATATTTGAACCTGTTGAGTTTCACATCCTGTCAGCCATTGCCAGATCATCAAGACATGTGCATCGCCTGTAAAGATCACATCAATAACATTACTCAGCCCACTAGCAGGAAACAGACTTCTCACCCTATCAGTGGGTTGCCATCATCACTTCCAGCTGAACTTTTCTGGTTTTCAGGCACTAATTAGCTTGCTGTAGATGGCTTCGTGTCATTTACAAATCAGGAACAATGGTCATTCTGAAGGAGAAGGGTGATTCATCTGATTGTGGTTCTGTGAAGAACCTGCATTGACTGCAGTCAGCAGAGTGGAAACAATATCTCTCTCATCAGGAATCAGACTTTTCTTTAGCCACAATGTTAGTGCAGATATAATCAATAATAAGTCTACAAATTAAAATGAACTGAAAGCAGTTAATGCCCCTGTGTCACGTTGTTGCGTTACAGCGGCTGCCTACCAATAAAGACCTGTGTGAGTCGAGTGTTGATGGTGATGAAACAGAATAGCTTGACAGCAACCTTATAGACAAACATCTGTTGCTTATTCCCTCCAGAGGGGCTGTATGGATGAAAGAGGATGCCTCCAAACTAAAGACAGCTTCATTGCAAGGGTTGACATGTTTTCCACTCCCTAAAGGCCTTCAATTTCTCCTCACATCACACAGAGAGCCATCAGGAGACAGATGCTATAGCTGACTTATTCATACATTGTACTGCCTCTCAATGCTGCATAATAGATTTTGTCTGAATATCCAAGCTAGTGTACATTTAAAATTTAACTAATAGGATATACTCTTAGGAATTTGGTGCAAATGTGGAGAGGAAAAATAAATGAAGTATATTGAAAAAGTTGCCCTGCGACATGTCCAGGGTGACCCCGCCTCTCGCCCGGAACGTCAGCACCTCCCGACCCCACAAGGGTCAAGGGTGTTAGAAAATGGAT